CGTATGTGTGTATTTATATACACACATACGCATGTATATTAGAATGTGTGTGTGTGTGTGTGTGTGTGTGTGCGTGCGTGCGTGCGTGCGTGCGCGCGCGTTCACGTGTACATACAAGCATAGCAATTTGCTGATATTTACACATATATTATTCGAAAACAGTTTACTGAAAGAAAATACTATGACCTTGTCTTTATCATCATTAACAGGATAGTGTTTATATTGTCTTTTTTAGCATTTTACCCACGTGTTGAGCCTGTTATGTCATTCATGATTAAGCCTGGGAAGTTATTCGCATTTACATAAATCTATAACCAGATATATTCGCTGTGTGGGTGACTATTAGGGTTAATGTGCATTACTGTCATTTTTTCTTTTGTTTCTTTTTTTATATCGATCGAAAGTTGTGGTGATAATTTTATATTCATGGCCATCTTTTCATTATCCTTTATATCGTCATTATCATCTCTATCATCTTCATCCACTGTCTCCTCCTGCAACCCATCATCATTATCACTATCAGTATGATCATTATCAACAGCATTATCATCATCACTACCATCATCATCATCGTCATTATCACCATTACTGGTACGGCCATCATCATCACTTTATTACCATTATCACCATCACCATTTCATCGGTTTCATCACCACCACCACTGTGACCATTTTTACTTTTATCTATTAAATTATTCGCATCTGCAAATCAGTTCGGGTTGCTTTCTATTTATTTGTTTACAAAACGTTTTAACAAAATTAAGAAAATCGTTTTTGTGTGTGTGTGTGTGTGTTTGTGTGATAACTGTATACTTTGAGGGTGAACAGACACACACGCAAACAAAAATAAGACAAAAGGAATGTCATACATTATATGCACGTTATATAAAAGACCCGCGTGACACTTGGACACTTTCGTCACAACCGCAAGATATGTGATATGATGTTCATGTCGCACAGCAGCCAAGCAGGTAAAATGATGTAATGAAGTATCGTATTACGTGGCATGAACGCGTGACATGAAACGTGTGACAAGGAAAGTAAAAGGACACGGATAGAGTAAGAAAGAGTAACCGTGATAAATGAGAGAAATGACGACAGTGAAAATCCGTATTCTCGTTATGGAAAGGAAACATATGGCATGACATGTAAGACTTTTGTCCATACACTTTAGCAATTAAGTCTTCAGATATGTTTATATATTTTTTTCGATCATATACATTACACAGTTACACAGCATTAAATAGTCCTTGACATTAAATAGTCTCTATCACGCCATTGATCGAGATAAAATTGAATTAAGGACGAGATGTTATACAGAGGTCACACTAATGCATATATCATTGTTAATTAAAATAGCAATTCAAAATCATACAGTGGCGAAAATATAGTACATACCCAAAAAGGACCCTGCGCAGCATCCTCGTCAAAATGAGCATCTTCGAGAGAGAGCTTTCAAGCAACACACATGGCCAAGCACTGTGGCCGGAGAGTTGAGAAAGGGCAGTCAAACCGGGTATCTCAGAGGGCTTCTTGTGCTTTAGAGAGCTTGCTTTCTGCTTTGGTTATCAAACAAACGAGGAGACAGTTCGTAGGTTATGGTTCGGAACTTTTTTCAATATGTTTCCGTGGTCTTTTGAGGGCTGTGTTCTTGATCTTGTAGATTAATGGTTTTGGAATCGAATCGTGAGAACTGGGTTAAGAAAACTTTCTACTGATGTTTCGAGGTCAACCAAGGACAAAGGAGGTAAATGCCGCCTGAAAGAGTGGCGAGATATGATTAGAAAATGTTATTTCAGGAAGGGTAAACTCGGTTATTTTCCTGCACACGATGGTAACGGTTTCAGTTCCCGAAGAGTTCCCGAAATGATGGCTGAAAGCAACACACACGCACGTCTCTATTTCTCCCCTTCTGTTTCGTGTCTCGCTCACGATCTAGCACATGTCTGAAGGCTGTTCGGGCAGAACGAGCTCGGGTCACGTCACGCTCAGCATTAGCTTGCGGTCCCGTTGCTCACCTCAAGGACTACCAGGTATTTACGTCGCGGCGCCACTTCGCTAAAGTCGGGTTCGATCTTCGTTCTTGATGCTCGTTTAAATGGTGTTTGCTATCCTTTAAAAGGCACTTCCTTGTTCCAGTCCGTCACAGTTTTCTCTAAACTTAAAGCATTACGATATCTCTTGGGCACCTCTGGTCAGCTAATGTTTTCCTAACGAGCGGCCAATGAAAACGCCGATCGCACCAAGCGCAGATCTGATTGGTCCATGGCGAGTTCTAGGGAATCTGCAGGATACACTCGGCACGCCTGTCAAGCTTTCTCTTTTACAGCGCCCATCACGGCCAGAGCATCTTCTCCCGCTGCCACAGGATGAGGCTTCCTTTCACACTCGTAATTAGCGAAGTCCGGGCTCGTTTTCCGACGGCAGAGCTTTGCGAATGGATGAAAACGATCTTGAGAATTTTTGGCTGTCCTCTCAAGACACGTCAGCACACTCCAGGTAACCAAAAGCCGGTCGCTTGTTTCTTCGGGCCGCCATGAAGATAAGAGTTACCTGTTCGTTTTTCTCGGACATATTTATCCTTAATCGCAGACGAGAATCAAGCCATCTTATGTCACAACATGTGCTAATTTAAGCAAAACAGAAAACATATGAGTATGAGCACGCATATGAAGTACTAAAAAAGAGAAGGGAAATGGTATACGGAAAATAATAATCGATATCCCCGGAAGATCCTTGCCAGATTCGCCAGCAGGTAACGGAGGTGGGATCAGCTGTGACATACCGGAAGTGATAAACTATCCCGAGACAAAGTTGTTGTATCTTCGGCCGATATATAAACTCCGGCGATCGTATTTTTTGCTTGAAGTTTGCAGCCAGCGCTTAAATTTCTTTCTAAATTGCATCTAAATCGAAAGGTCTTTTGTGTCTCTTGATATCATATTTCCGTGCGTGTATATGAGGGAAGTTTCCAGTACATGTGCGAGTTTTTCCGAAGAAATTTCTAGTTTCTTCGTTTAGTTTGGTTTATATGAAAAACTGACTTCATTATTAATATGTTGTTTACTTTTCCTTTCAGACTCTTAAATTTCTTCTTTGTTTTCTAGATTCCATAATTATCAGGAATTCTATGCACTTTATTATTCAGAAACTGCGCACAAATATTTTCCTTTTTTTTGTAAAAAAAATGATATCCGATTCATTTTGCTCTAACACCTCATATATTTTTTTTTCTGTTATCTTCTGAAATGGAATGCATCAGGGTGAAATTCCTATTTTAATGCGTGTGTGTGTGTGTGTGTGTGTGTGTGTGTGTGTGTGTGTGTGTGTGTGTGTGTGTGTGTGTGTGTGTGTGTGTGTGTGAGAGAGAGAGAGAGAGTGTGTGTGTGTTTGTGTGTGTGTGTGAGAGAGAGAGAGAGAGAGAAAGAGAGGGAGAGAGCAGACGTCGAGCAGACCCACAGTTTTCAGTTTCATGACTGAAAGTGACCAGGTCTGGAATTATACTGTATACTCGTATATTGTGAACGGCCGAGCTAACTCGATATAGATGTGAAGGTGATTGATGTTCCACGAAAGAGATATCGTGCATTTCACGGCTACATTTCCGTTTTCTCGAATTAGAACAGAAACTAGAAATGACCAAATACGGAAATATGTAAAACCAAGATTTGCGATCACTGGGAATTTTCTTAGATCGCGATGAATTGATAATCGATGGATGAAGAGAGGTTATATATTTCTTTCTCTTCCAGTCATTCTTCCGATATATATATCTATTTTTATCACCTGAGAGGGAGAGAGAGAAAGAGAAAAGTGCGAGAAAGAAAAATGAGAGACAGACAAACAGACAAAGCAAATGTAAACAAAAGAGATACACAGGAAAAAAAAAAGGAAAAAGAAGTAAAAAAAAAAGACACATGACCCAGAATATATTATCCACCTCCTACACACTTAAGAGCATGCCTCTCCTTTCCCACAAGCAAAGAAGGGGCCCTTAAACATGACGTCAATGAAGACAGTGATCGAGCGAATAAGAGCCTGGGAAAGTGAGATGTAGAGTGTCCGCGAGGTAATATCTGCGCCGTGATTGTAATAAATGCGGAAAATCGGGGAGATTGTGAAGAATGATGTGGGAAAGAGGAAAGAGAAAGGATGGAGAAAAGGATCTGAAGGAAGAGAAATGGTGGAGGAAGCTGGGATGGAATGAGAGGCGGAGAAAGAGGGAGGGAAGAGAAGAGAGAGGGTCTGAAAGAAGAACAAATGATGGACGAAGATGGGATGGAATGAGAGATGGAGAAAAGGGAAGGGAAGAGGAGAGGAAAGATGGAGGATGGAATAAAGAATTTAAAGAAAAATGATGAAGAGAGAGATGGGGAGACAGGGAAAGAGAAGAAGAGATGAGAAGTGAAGAGAAAGTATTAAAGTAAGGTTGGAGAAAGTGAGAAAAGAAGCGAAAAGACCTGAAGAAAAAAAGGATGGAGAAAGAAAGGGAGAGGAGAGAAAATAAGAGAGAAAAGATGGAGAGAGGGGAGGGAATGAAGGATGAAGAAGGATCAGGGGACGAAGGAAAGGATATGCAAAGAATGGTGTGAAAGAGGTTCAGGATCTGGGACAGAAGAGAGGATTTTTTTTTAAATAATAATAGAGGGAGAGAGAGACATAAAGAGTGGGCGTAAGAGAGAAGGAAGAGGTATTGTAGAGAGTGACAAGAGAGTGAAAAGGAGACGAACAAAAACAGAAGGAGACTAGTAGGAAAACTAAATATAGAGAAGGAAAAACAGAAAAAACGGAAACAATGTCAGAAATGTAATATGCTAGAAAACCATTCATTTTTGTAAAGATGATAGCCATTCATGCGTGTCTAAAACTTCACGAAACTCTGTGAAAGTAGACGAGGTCAGTGCATCTGGAAAGTGGAAGCTTAGCAAATACCTTTGTTTTTGTTTAAATTTTTGTTTTTTGTTTTTCGTTAATGACTAAGTTTTTCATCTCCACCATCACTCATTATAACACCGCGAAGACACAATGGCTATTTAAGAATCTGCTATGTAAATCTTCATTTCTTTTGTTATCTCTCTCTCTTCTTTTTTTCTTTTCATTTTGATGGAAACAATAATAGCTAGCTGGTATTATCTTCAGGTTTTGTGTGTAATCAACTGTTTTCATATAACGTGATGAATATTAAACATTTACCATTTTAGTTTATACATTTAAATTAATACATCGATTTACATAGTAAATCAGTAAGTGAATAAAAACATCCATCACTGTTACCGGCGTTAAATAATACTGTTATTATCATTAATGGTAAGGATAATAATAGTAACCATTATGATAATCAGATACAATAACGATCTGAGTAAACAGCAATGGCATGGTAATTTTCAAGTCTTATTTTCATACTTTTACCATGACGGTATTTTTTCCCTCTCTTTGTCCTTCCCTAAGTTTGTAATAACTTCCTCCCTGCTTTGAGGTAATTATGATGTGAACTGTGATAATTATAACAAGAATGTATTAAAAAAAAAAAAAAAAATCAAAATATAGTTCTGTCAATGATAACGGCAGTGGTGACCGCTGTAGCTATGTTCGATTTTTTATTTTTTTATTCGACTTAACAATTGGCAGGTGATATCGACAGTAGTTATAAAACATAGTCAACAAAAAAGTATTTTTGGAATAGTGCAAAACCTGGGAGCCTTGATGACTGAGTCAACTGCCAGTTATCGCCTTGGAGTTGAATAATAATGGAGGATTAAATACCCTCATGTAAAGAGAGGAAGAAAATTGAGAGAGAGGGGGGGGGGGATTACGGGGACTCAAATCTGGAAACGTATCAGCATAATTTGTCTGGTGAGGTTTATTTCGACAAGATATCGTTAGTGGACACCGTTCTTTTTGCTGACCTGTGCAACGTGCACGCACGATGCTTTTGCAACGCACGCGCGCTTGGGACACTGTGCGGTTCCGCCTTATTTGCTGACTTAAACAGTTTTGGAAAGGCTCTGACGGGTTCTCACTTCCTGCACCCGTGGACGCAGTCAGCTGGTCATAACAACACACTTTGCCTCCCTTGCGTCACACGCGTCGTCATCGTTACGTCACGCGTCACGCAGATCGCAGCCGAGTTGAGAGATTCCATGCACCGCCCTCGGCCCCTCCCGTTCACCCCCCTCCCTTCCCCATCCCCCGTCCTCCATGCCCTCGCCCCCTCTGCCCTGCCTACTCTCCCCATGCCCTTAACCCCACCTCCTCTCCCCCATAGGCTTTCCTCTGCCCCTTTCATCTCCGCTTTTTCCTTCCCCCGTCTCCCACTCCCCTCCCCCCCTCTCCTCCGCCCTCAGAAACTCCCCCACCCCACCTCCCTCCTCTCCCCTCCCTTCCCATCCCCTCCCCCTTTTGATTCCCTATATCACGATGCGTTGATTATGCAATGAACTTTTTCTTTCTCGTTTGGGTCTCCCGTGGTCTCTCTTAGGGTAGATGACTCACTGTGTTTTCTGCCTTTTTGTTTCTCTCTTTCTCTCTATCTATCTATCTATCTAACTATGTGTCTATCTCTAACTCTCATTCTTTCTTTCTCTTTCCCTCTCTCTGCCATTCAACACTGCTATTACCTTTATTTTTTTTCAATTTTCATTCTAAAACCGGTGTTATTGTAGGGGTATATCTCTATCTGTCAGTCAGTCTATTGAATTTTTTTCTCTCATTATATAGTTCTCTCTATATCTACATATCCATCTATCAGTCTCCCCATCTAATCTATCTAGTCTCTCTCTCTTTCTCTCTCTCTCTCTCTCTCTCTCTCTCTCTCACACACACACTTACACACACACACACACACACACACACACACACACAGTTTAATCAATCTCTCTCTCTCTCTCTCTCTCTCTCTCTCTCTCTCTCTTTCTCTCTTTCTCTCTCTCTCACACACACACACACACACACACAGTTTAATCAATCTGTATGAAAATCCACCGCTAATGATTAAAGACAAAGAAAGGTTCGACTTGCAATCACTTTCATGCTTGGTTGTGCCGGGGTGAAGAAAGGCCAACGACGGCGCAAGAAGGGGCTTTGTGAGCCAGGGAAGGAGAATGGAGGAGAAAGAAGAAAAAAAAAGAAGAGGAAGAAGAATAGGGAGAATGGGAAAGGGAGGGGAAAAAGAGAAGGAGGAGAAAGAAGAAAAAAAAAGAAGAGGAAGAAGAATAGGGAGAATGGGAAAGGGAGGGGAAAAAGAGAAGGAGGAGAAAGAAGAAAAAAAAAGAAGAGGAAGAAGAATAGGGAGAATGGGAAAGGGAGGGGAAAAAGAGAAGGAGGAGAAAGAAGAAAAAAAAAGAAGAGGAAGAAGAATAGGGAGAATGGGAAAGGGAGGGGAAAAAGAGAAGGAGGAGAAAGAAGAAAAAAAAAGAAGAGGAAGAAGAATAGGGAGAATGGGAAAGGGAGGGGAAAAAGAGAAGGAGGAGAAAGAAGAAAAAAAAAGAAGAGGAAGAAGAAT